GAAGTCTGGAAATTGATTGAGGGGCTGTGATTCTCTGTTTTTATAATTCAAATTAATCTTTTGTCCATTCAACCTAGAAATTTTCTGCTTGTATAAATTAAGTAGGAATGCAGTAGCCTTCCTATCCATTTCATTTCTAGGAACACCATGATTAATTAGCTAAGGCCAGAGCTCTAGACGAGTCAGACTATTCTGATTGCCGCTTTGCCTCTGCTATCCATTACGGTAACTATGCCCACCCTGCCTTTGATGGTTGAGTGTCACCACTTGGCCCCCGCCACCCCAGGATCCAATTATTCCCACTATATTTAAATTTTGTAGTTGAGTGACTGCAGTCCCCCCATCATTAGATCTGACATACAGAGAATAGCAATTACAGCAATTACAGGGCTCTTCAAAGACGCAGGTTCTGATCTTGCAAATCTATTCCACAACTCAGTGTCCCTAGTATCATCAGGATCCTCCCACACAACCCCATTCCAAGTTTCAGGGTCCTATTCTTTTCCAGTAAATGCCCTCACTTTAACAGTAGACACCTGGTGCATGCATCTTTTGTTACAAGTCAGCCACTCACATGATAAGAGCTTGTGTCTGTTTTTCCACAATTTCAGCTCTTGGTCTTCAGGAGGTAAGATTCTCACTCAGGGCAATCTTAGCAGATTTGAGGCTCAGTATCTGTTTCTAAAGCTGGGAGACAGAATCTCTGAGTTCATAATTTTCTTTCATCACTTTGTCCACTGAACAGAGGACCAACCAACCAGCTTCATTATGTTTCTTGGTTCTCCACATATGGTGAAAGGTATTATGCATTATGTGGAGTAATGAATCAGGAGTGTCAAATGCATTTATTTTGCATAACTCTCTAAACAGTTCACACCAAGGACTATCAGTGTTCTCCATACTATTAGAAGGAGAGTCCTTAGCATTTTGGGGTCTAAATATTAAGCAGCCAACTCCAGAAACCCCAAACCAATGAAAGAACTCCATCCTTAATATTCTGTTCCTCTAGAACCACTCCCAATACCAAAATCTGTATTAGGGTTCTCTAGAGGGACAGAATAGGACGGACACACACACACACACACACACATATATATGGAGAGCTTAAGTATTAACTTACACAATCACAAGGTCCTACAATAGGATGTCCGCAAGCTGAGGAGGAAGGAGAGCCAGTCCAAGTCCCAAAACTGAAGAACCTGAAGTCCAACGTTCAAGGGCAGGAAGCATCCAGCATGGGACAAAGATGTAGGCTGGGAAGCTGGGCCAGTCTCTTGTTCATTTTTCTGCCTGCTTTATATTCGCTGGCAGCTGATTAGATTGTGCCCACCAGATTAAGGGTGGATCTGCTTTCCCCAGCCCACTGATTCAAATGTTAATCTCTTTTGGCAACACCCTCACAGACACTCCCAGGAACAATACTTTGTAACCTTCAATCTAATCAAGCTGACAGTATTAACCATCACACCTGCCTAAGTAAAGATTAAATGAGATGATCACCACACCGCATATTTGTTGTTGTTGTTGTTGTTTTTAAAAAACGTGGAGGGCCAGGTGCGGTGACTCACACCTGTAATCCCAACACTTTGGGAGGCCGAGGCAGGTGGACCACTCAAAGTGAGTAGTTTGAGACCAACCTGGCCAACATGGTGAAACCTTGTCTCTACTAAAAATGCAAAAATCAATGGGTGTGGTGGCGTGCACCTGTAATCCCAGGTACTCGGAAGGCTGAGGCAAGAGAATCGCTTGGACCAGGAAGGCAGAGGTTGCAGTGAGCCGAGATCGCGCTACTGCACTCCAGCCTGGGTGACACAGCAAGACTATGTGTCAAGAACAAAAAACAAAAAACAAACAAAAAAAGTGAATGAAGGGAAAAGTAGATTAAGTTTTCAATGTAACATTGTTCATAGCAGGAAGAAAACCTGAAAGCAACCTAAATGCCCATCAACAGTGGGAATAATAATACATTGCAGGATAAATACCCAGTAAAATACTTTAGTGTTTTAAAAAAGGAAAAATAAACTATAGTTACAATTGTACAGGTAGCTTTGTTTGTTTTAAAGCCAAGGAAGGATTAACATAAAACTCAAGATAGTGGTTACACCTGCTGTGAGAAGAGACAGGCATGTGATCAGGAAAGGGCATTCTGGTGGTTCCCTAACATCCTGATAAGGGTGTTAGGGGCAAATGGGAATTCATTTTATAATCATTCTTTAAATGATACATGTATATATACACACTGCTGCATTTATGATCCAGTTTTAAAACAAAAAAAGTCATTTAAAACTCTCATTGAATCTTAACCATGAGACTTATGTATCTATACTTGGAGATGGAGAATACGTAGACCTTGGTTCCCCGTCCTAGTCTCCTGGGTTGAATCACAACACATTCCAGTGATTTTTTTTGGCAATTACTAGATGAACTCTTACAACTTTGATTAAAATAATTAATACAGAAAATTTCTGATTTTGCTAGCAGATCTCTAAAAGCAAATTTTTGGTATAAAATGATCTACAGAGAATTTGGCAGATGGCAACTATTGTATATCAGGTCTGTGTCTACAACTGTAAATAAGATTTTGCCATTCTTATAGTCAGGCTGTGTTATAGTCATCCTGATTTTTAATTTTTTTTTTTTTTTTGAGATGGAGTCTCACTCAGCCTGTCACCCAGGCTGGAGTGCAGTTGCGTGATCTCGGCTCACTGCAACCTCCGCCTCCCAAGTTCAAGCAATTCTTCTGCCTCAGCCTCCTGAGTAGCTGGGATTACAGGCACAAACCACTACGCCCAGCTAATTTTTGTACTTTTAGTAGAGATGGGCTTTCACCATGTTGGTCAGGCTGGTCTCGAACTCCTGACCTCGTGATCCACCCCCATTGGCCTCCCAAAGTGCTGGGATTACAGGCGTGAACCACTACACCCGGCCTGATTTTTAAATTTCAGTGCTGTATTCACTTATCAATGAGCAATGCCTCATTGGTAATGGTCACTGTTCATCTCTTGTTTCCAATCCTGTCAACACTATAAAAGGACAACTTACAATATCCTGTAACGAATGGGCATGAACCGTATCCAGAAACCTGAGACATGTTTTCATGTCATGTACAGTTTTTTGTTAATTAAGGCTGAAGATTAACTCAAATAAAGCTTGTAACTCAGAAGTTTAATCTATTAGTTGTTTAATCTGTTTTCTGAACTGCATGCTTATTTTATGTATGCAGAGTAGACTGGCTGAGTGTGAGGACACTTAATACAGTAGTAGGATGCCAACCAAGGCAGAAGCCATGGACTCACCATTTGACAGTCAACATAGTAACTGGTTCAGTCAAGAATTGTCAATAGACTCAAACTAGTCTGTGACAATTCGATGAGAAACAGGACATTTACAATCTTTAAGAATCTCCTCACAAAGTACTTCCTAATTCTAATTTTACAATGGAGAAACCTGGTATATACTATCTGAACCAGGTGACTAAAATTAATAGCATCAGGTATAAGACAAATTGACATTGTGTGCATCCTGGCATGACACATTTGAGTATACAGCATCATTTCTGTAGTACTGGACAAAAATGTCTATCCTAAATCTTATGAGTCTTAACTAATGATAAACCAAAACTGAGGAACTTTCTACAAACTGGTCAATACTCCTCAAGTGTCAAGGACAAAGACAAGTCTGAAAAGCTGTTCCAGACTGAATGAAACAAGAGATAGGACAACTAAAAGCACTATGTGGTCCTGGATTGGGATGCTGGAACACAGGAACATTACGGAGGCAATCCGAATCAGCAGATTGAATGTGGCCTATGGATTAGATATCATTATGATGTCAACGTCAATATCCTAAGTTTGATGGTGGTACTATGATTATGTAGGAATACCCTTGTCTTAAGGAAATACACAGTAGATAGAGGTAATAATGCAAAAAAATATTTTGGCTGGGATTACATTGAATCTACAAATGTAAATTAACATCTCTACATGACTGAAGCTTCTAATTTGTGTACATTATGGAGTGCTACATTTATTTAAGATCTCCTTAAATGCTTCCTGACATGGTCTAACATTTTCTCCATGAAGATCTTGTACATCTTTTGTGAGACTTATTCTTAGGTATTTTGTATTTTTTAATGATATTGAAGAGATCTTTCTAAAAACTTTCATTTCTGTTAGTTGTTGATATCCAGGAATACAACTGACTTACATACTGATTGTGAATGTAGCAACTTTGCTAACTCCTAGATGTTAACTGAATAGTCTACATATATAATCATATCAACACATCACCATAATTTCCTACCTGTAGGAAAGAAAAACCCACAGAATTCCATAGACTGTAAGTTATTTAACAATATACAATGGCTGGCATTTAAAGAGGTGTTTCCAGTTGTATAAATACTGTAAGTAACATAACGATAGCTAGGAATAGTGTAGCCATAGTACCATCTTTAAATCACCCAAATAACAGACGTACAATTCTATCTGCTTATGAGTTCACTAGGCAACAAGTCTCAGGGATCATATAGTCTTTGTCTCTGTATCAAAACAAATACACTGCCTAAGGTACACTAAAAGTAATTTAACATACTGTACTCATAAATTCGAATTAAGTTCTCTGTAGGTAAAACTTGGCTAGGGAAGTTATGATCAACCCTTCAGAAATGACTTCTCAGAACCTTGGACAATACACCTCCCACAAGGCTTCCTGGTGTTCTGGCAGCATTAACAGGGCTCCCGCTGTTGCCCCTTCCCTTTGCTCACATATCTTTCCATGTGGCATAAAACAACTTCTGGATAAATGATTTCCACCACATTATTAGCTAGCACAACACACTGCACACTGTGGACACTCTAGAAATAGCAACCTCTTCTCAAGAGATACTTGCCTCAGAGCCCCAGGAAACTAGAAAGCATCTAGAGGCTTAAGGCTCTAAGCTGGACAAAGTGCCAGGGAACCCTAAAGGCAGAAAGGACCCAAAAGTGAAATTCTCATTTTTGAGCTGTGAGGGAAAACAGAGAAGTGAGTTTATTACAGGATATAACCTTTGGGTTGTCTCCATATATTAAAAGAAAACTGAAGAAGTTTAAAAGTACATTTTCTAAGTTTTAGTATAGGATGATGATAATGTTCTGGAGATGAATAGGTGCTCATGGTTGCAAAACAATGAGAATATACTTAATGCCACTGAACTATATGCTGAAAAATGGTTCAAACAATATACTTAAAAATGGTAAATGTTACGTGTATTTTACCACAATAAAAAATTTTTAAAGTTGCATTTTCTATTGTTAAAAACTACCAGATATCATTTAGTAATCATAGTCATTAAGAGCACTAACCATCAAAATCTGACCGCCCTATGTTTGAGATTTGACTCCACCTGTGGAACACAGAAGCAAGTCATTTAACTAAGCCTTAGTTTCCTTACCTGTAACACAGAAAAAATAACATGATTACCCACCCATTACAGGTTGCTCTGGACTTGAAATAAAATAATCCATGTAGCAACTTGGCAAAGTTCCTGGCACACAGAGAAGGCTCAATACACATTGGCTCTAATTTTCTTTTTAGGTATTCACAGCAATATGATTCTTTTATATTTTATACAATGAGGACTAAAAACAAGGCTTCAGGAAAAAAAGGACTGATTATTGCTCCCTAGACCTTCACATCACATAGAACTATAAAACAAGTTTCCATAAAACTCATTCCACATTGTAGTCAAGGGATGTATGATCCCAGGTGTTGACTTCTAAGCCAATGGTTAATAACCTTAAACTCTCATACTGTAATAGGCAACAATTGAAAAGAAGCCACGAGAACTTGAGATAATTTAACAAGTTGATATATATATATATTATCAAGTATAACAGTCATACAAAAACATTTAGTAGAAATATAATTCACACATACAAAAACAGTCTACTTATTTTTTGTCCCTTTTATATCCTATTTTAGACAAAATGATAAAACCCAGAAAATAACAGGAATGTACTAGTCCTAAAAACTGGACATTTTATAAATGAAACAGATCCAATCACCTATACCTTCTCTCAAATTCCAAATAATGAGGCTTACTGACCTGTACTCTCAGAATCAACTTAAATAAATTTTAGCTTGATTTGGATGGAATATACACTTTCAATGGTTGACAATCCAGGTAGAACAAGTACATAAAATGATTCATAAGTCAAAACATTTCATACAAAAGGAATGGTTTTAACCCAGACAAATCAAGAGGAAATGCACTGAATTTAAAAACTTCTGAAACACGCATTTTTTGGACCATTTATAAAATACCAAAAAGTTCAGAACTGCTGAATAACAAAAGTTTATATAAAATAAAGCCAAGGGGTGAAAAAACTATCAAATGTATTAAAACCATCTAATGCCAAATACAACATAACTGAACTATATAATTTAGAAACAGGTTTAAGTGCATTTCCTTTATACAATGTAATTGACTATCACATGTAAAAACTGGCAATTAATTAAAATGCAATTAAATACAGATTTGCAAGCCTTCTGGCCATTATGTAAACATTTAAAAATTAAGTGAATTGCCAATTGAAAAATAAGAGCTTACATATGTATCTTAAAAAAGCACAAATGTAAAAGATGCAGTATAAAGTTATGTGAAAAAACATATTCATACCAACAAAATCTTTTTAGGCACTTGCATTCAGAAACATTCCTTTTATAAATAAGCACTTACAATAGTTTCACTCCAAAAAATAAACCTGATTTTCCCAAATTGCACCTATTAGTTGAGAACTATTATCATATATTAGGGATGCATTCAAATGGACCATTTGGTGGGGAAAGTCAACTGAACTTTAAAAAATATGAATCCACCTATCTTATTCACAACTTCAAAAATACAGAATTTAAAGATAATTCCAGTGAGGCACAAATGTGACCCTATCAAAACATTCTACCATTCAGTATTACCAACAGAGGATAATACGATACAACAACAAAAGGCAAAACCCATGATTTGGCAGTCCTATACAAAAGGGGCCCTGTCAAAATACTCTTTCACAAAATAAGCACAATACCACAAAATAACACAACAACAATAACAACAACAAAAAACCCCTGAAATTTGACAACCCTACACAAATTGTGGAATTTCATCTTCGAGGTCTTCAAACTGTTGCATTCGTTTTAGCCTTGGTCTCTGACATGTTGGATTCACATCAGGCAAGCCAAGCTCCTCAGAGTCTTCTTTAGGTTGACCAGTTGCCTGCCCAGGACAAGCTGATGCTTTGTCTGGGTCTGGCCTTGACTTCACCATGAGACCCTGGGGATCGTGAGCTGTGCCAGGAGGCACTGCTGCTGAGGGTGAAGCTGGCTTCTCCTCATTCCCCCTGATACTGATGGCGGGAGCATGTGGTTTATAAAATGTTGTCCAATGTTGAGGCTGCAGTGTTCTGGGTGCTCTGACAGGAGCGAGAGGGTAGGAATCCGAAGACCGTCTCTCAGACGCCTCTCTCACTGACCTGACTGGCTCTGTGTATGGCTTACTGGGCTGAGTGGCATTGACAGAATGGTCCCCACTAATCTGGACGCTTGTTGTCACTCCTTTTTCCTGGAGTGCACTGGGCATGATCATTGTAGTCTTGGCAGTTAGGCTGCTTTGTTCAGACTGTTTGTCCTGAATTTTTTGTAGAGTTTGCTGGTCAAAGCCATTAAATTTGGAACAAACAGTAGTAGCAGTGTCTTTTCTATTAACTCCTTCAAAGGCAGGATTCTTGCAAAACTTGTCTAAATTTACATTTCCCATATTTCTACCATTTCTCTCCTTAGGAGGGCTTGCAAGAAGTAGTCTATCTATAGGCAAACTTACGGGTCTAATCTTGGTCCTTGGAGTATGCCTCTCCACACAGTTTGTTGATGACCTATCAGATTTCAGAGAAAGTGGCTTAGGGGTTTTACCATCTTCTATCTTTTGGGATGCTGATTCAACCTCCTGGTCTAGAAGCAACTGTGCTTTGTCTGAAAATGAAAGCAATCTATTTAACTTCATGGCACATGGTTAATAAGAGAGTCTGAATGAGTTAGAGATGAACACTGTATCAAGACAATACAAGTCTTACATATTTTTTCTAAAGTAATACTCTCAGTTATCTATGCAGAGGAGTTAAACATTTGCACAGTATTAAAGGTGTATATTGAATTTAAAAGTTCAAATTTTTTACTCATTTAAATCAATATGAACAGCTACAAAATACCAAAAAACACTTGCTGAGTAACTTCCTTTTAAGTGCTGTGCATGAACAAGTACTTTCTGGGTCAAAAGACTATCACAATGTCAACAGGTAGACATGGGAAAATTAACCTCAGAAAAGTGGCACTAATTTACACACCAACCAGATGTAACTGTGCCCTGAATCCCAAGGATTTTGCCAACTCACTCAATCTGCTTTTCAGTTACACTCAACCCAGTGAGAACATATCATATTAGATTACTTAGATGCTCTCCTTACCTGATTAATAAAGCATAACATCCATTCTGTCAAATGAAGGCTGAATGCTTTTAAGTTAAAAAATGCCATTTTCCCCATCTGCTCCCAGATTTTCTTTCTTCTACAGTCTGAACCCATAGTCCATGTTTTCTCACTTAAAAGCCTCAGTTCCTGCATCTATCCTAAAAAATTCCAATTCCAGGAATGTTCCAGCCCTCCATTCTCCTGCTTTTCTGTTCACTGCCGAAACACATCCACCAACTCCGTGCCTCAACGCCATCCTGACTTTGAGCTGCAGCCGGCCCCAAGCACAGCATGCAATCCTGTCCCTGCCACCCAGTCCTTCAACCACATCTTTTAGGCAGTGGTTTGCAGACAGGTACCCACCAGAGTAACTTTTTGGTTGTCATCTCATCTGACCTTCTTCTACACCTGGGACTGCTGGCCTCTCTTCCCTGGGTTCCAAGGCTCTTTTTTTTGTTTTGTTTTGCTTTTGTTTTTTGAGACAGAGTCTCACTCTGTCACCCAGGCTGGAGTACAGTGGCATTATCTTGGTTCACTGCAACCTCCGCCTCCTGGGTTCAGGTGATTCTCTTGCCTCACCCTCCTGAGTAGCTGAGATTACAGGTGCCTGCCACCATGTATAGATAATTTTTGTATTTTTAATAGAGACAGGGTTTCACCATGTTGGCCAGGCTGGTCCTGAACTCCTGACTTCAAGATCCGCACACTCCGACCTCCCAAAGTGTTGGAATTATAGGCGTGAGCCACCACACCCGGGCCAAAGCTCTTTTGATTTGCTTTCCCGGGTCCTCCACACATTTATAGAGCATTCTAAGGGACCTGATTCCTTGCAATTGGACTGTAAGCACCAATGTATATTCTTAAATTTCTGAGGGAAAAACTTAGAGCATAATGGAGAAGAGTACAGACTCTGAAGCACAGTTGCCTGGGTCCTGGCTCAGCCCTGCCTGCCACTTCTGCACTGGGCTAGGCAATCACTGTCTAGCCACTGCCAGTGGCTATGTGTCTTCATCTGTGAAAAAAGACTCCTATGTGTATCTATGTTGCTGTGTGATCTAAATGATCTACTAGGAAAAGTGCTTAAAATTATGTTGTATGTAATAAACACTGGAAAGTGACCTTTATTATCATCACTGTTCCTAAGAGCTTCATGGGATAGTGAAAAAGGTTAGGTTTAGCAGTCAGAACTGGGTTCAAATGTATTAGGAGCACAATCTTTGGCATTACTTAGTCTCTTTCAGATGGTTGGTTATGGGCTGAATGAGGATAATGCTCTTTATAGCACAGAACTATTATGATGATCAAATAGAATCAAACAAATAAGCACAGTGCTTAGCACAGAACAGGCAGGTACCTGGTAAATGTTAGTTCCTTTCCTTTTTTTTTTTTTTGAGACGGAGTTTCACTTGTCACATTCTCAGCTCACTGCAACCTCTGCCTCTAGGGTTCAAGTGATTCTCCTGCTTCAGCCTCCTGAGTAGCTGGGATTACAGGTGCCCGTCACCATGCCTGGCTATTTTTTGTATTTTTAGTAGGGATGGGGTTTCACCATGTTGGCCAAGCTGGTCTCAAACTCCTGACCTCAGGTGATCCGCCCGCCTTGGCCTCCCAAAGTGTTGGGATTACAGGTGTGAGCCACCATGTCCGTCACTCCTTTCCTTTTTAGACCCTATGCTCACTGATACTTGATTACACATTAAATTTAACATATATGGCTGCAATGTAAAAACTTGGAATTTAGCTGTAACAATGTAGAAATGACAATATAAATGGAAGCTTTTCCAGCAGCTTAACAACTAGCAATGACAGCAACTAATATTATAAAGAGAAAATAAGTGAATAAAATGACTGTAGTCAAGGAAATAAAAAATACATACACATCTCTGTGTTTAATGGGTTAAATGTAGGCCACAGGTAAAAAGCATGTCAAAAAAAAAGGAGGACTCTAAATTTTTTTAAGAGTCTAGTTTGACTCCATATGAACAGTTAGTTCAATGCACTGAATTATGGAACCAGAAGATACTAATGAATATCACATTGCTCAACACATTTCTACCTTGATTTTAGCTGATGGCAAAATGCAGAAACGAAAACAAAATTCAGAAGGAACACAAAAAACATTATGACCTCCAAGATGTCCTTATTACAAGAAAGACTTTTATGAAGAATGACATTCATTTAAATGCAAGGTACACTAAAAGGCAACTTTCTCAATGGCTAGTCAAGATTTGTTAACTAATAAAGCTTCATTCTCTGGCTTCCCTCATCACCCCTCACCTTGACTTTAATCATGGTTCTACTGGCAGTTTTAAGTCAGCAAACTTTTTTTTTTAACATGGCTACTCACCACTGAGACATGCATCCCATTTTTCTAACGCATTTTGCTTGCGTTCTGACTCCTCAAATGATGTAGCTCGTTCAAAAATTTTGCTTTCACTCTCTGAAGTATGGATATCCTGTTGATGGAAGATAATTTTTAAAATGGAAGAAGTAAAATACAACCTCAAAATAAAGAGTTCAAAGATTTTTAACTTATTAACATAAACATTACAAAGTTCTAATATAATTCCATAAAGGTCAAACTCACTTCCTTTGAAGGAAAAAATAGTGACTTCATGGAACGTTCAGGGTCTCTTTCTTCTGGTGATAACAGAGGCTTTGGAAAACAGCCTTGATCAACCTGAGGTGAAAAAACACCTGTGCTACACGTGACATCTTGCGGCTGTAGGGCCCCATCGAAGATCTTCTGTGAGTGAGTAATGAGGAACTCCACCAAGCGTGCTTGGTTTGAATACTCGGCAAGGGAGGAGATGGTGATAGGAGCAGTTGTGGGCCTTGGCCTGATGAGACTTGGTCCAAATATCACCCCCAAGTTTTTGGAGTTCATCTTGTTTTCTTCTGCATGATCTACTACCCTGCAAAGTAGAACACATAAAGTTGCATAAGATTTGCCTATTAGAGTTCCTTGACTGTAGTTTACTATGGAATAGAGAGGGTGGAGGAAAAATGAGCTGCATAAGAATACTAGGGGGAAAAAGTCTAGGAAAAGGTTATATTTATTTGATTAAAATATTGACCACATGCCAAATAGAGTTTCACAGTTTCACAGTATTGAAATAAATTTCAAGTAGAAGGAAGTACTACAGTTTTACCAGCAGAAAGAAAAAATACCCCTAAAAACTGCTCCCATCTCAGTATATGGTATATCCTCCCAAGTCCTTATACTGGGAACCTAAACATCATTGTCAGTTCTCTCACTACCCATCTCCAGTCTTCAAGTCTAGATGATTCTCCCTTCTGAAGATCTCAGTTCCAACACCATCCCCACTCCTCTGGCCTCACTTGAAGCTCTTACCACCTTTTATTTCTATGATTATTCAAGGAGATCTGAATTGTAATAAAGGCCTCCTCTTCAACCTAGTTTCCATATTGCTGCCAAAATATCTAAAAGGCGAATCTGAGCCTGTCAAATCCCTAGCTCAAAATTCTTTAGTGCGTACCGAAGCAAGATGGTCAGTGCACCTACCAGGCACGCAAAACTTTATCAGGCCTCTAGCTGGCTCAGTTTCTGCTACTGCTTGCTGTATTGCAGCCTAACCAATTCACTTGTATTTCTCAGATGCACAATGTGCTCTTGTGTCTCCATGTCTGTGACTTTGTGCCTGGAATGCTCTTCTGTGTAATTTTGCCCACCAAGATACTACTTGGTTCTGTAAGTCTGATTCAAGGGCTATCTCCTCTGATTTATGCCCTGACCACACAATCTTCCTCTGCATGCTATACATAGCTTTTAGAACAATGATGCTGTACTCTGCTTGTCTGTAGATCCGTCCCTGCAGCTGATGAGACCAACAGATGGCTGAAGCCCTGTGTTTTCATCCTTGTTTAGCCAGCCAGAGCCTGGCACACAGGAGGCATCTGAGGGAACCATGTTGGCTCCAAGTACATATATCTTCAATGTCTCCCCTTCCCTTGCACAGATTGGAGATGAAATGTTCATTTTAAAAGTAACACTGCAACAATATGAACACACTTAACACTTAAGAATGGCTAAGAAGTGCCAGGTGTGATGGCTCACACCTGTAATCCCACCACTTTGGGAGACTGAGGTGGGCAGATCATGAGGTCAGGAGTTTGAGACCAGCCTGGCCAGTATGTTGAAACCCTGCCTCTACTAAAAATACAAAAATTAGCTGGGCATGGTGGCGTGCACCTGTATTCCCAGCTACTCGGGAGGCTGAGGCAGAATAATCGCTTCAACCCAGGAGGCGGAGGTTGCAGTGAGCCAAGATCTTGCCACTGCACTCCAGCCTGGGCGACAGAGCAAGACCCTGTCTCCCAAAAAAAAAAAAAAAGAATGGCTAAGAAAGTAAATTTTGTTATGTGGATTTGGATTTTATCACAATTAAAAACAAAACAAAACAAAATCAATTGCCCATTAATGAATGTTCTAGTTATATAAAATTCTTACCGCTTTAGATGTACTATAAGGAAATGAAGACTGTTAAAATTTGATGCTGGCAATTGTCTTAGAAGGTCTTTGATTTTTAGAAGAATTCGGTTTATTTCTATACACATATTTGGCCATTTTTTGTCTTCAAGACTATCCTTTTTTGTCTCTTGCTCTTCATTTACATGTTGGATCTCTTTTGCAAGGTCTATAAATTCCTTGTACAATCGAAATAAAATAAATGGTTCTGGGAGCTAAAGAAATAAAATTACATTGAGGTGAGTACTCTTTTTTTCTGTTAATAATCAACTATTACTAACAGTTTCAGAACGATTTAGGATGTCCCTTTACATTAAGAAGATTTAAAGTCAATCCACATTTAGTAATGTAAATGTTTGCTACAGATGTGGTCTATAAAGTAAACCTAGAATCATCATCATAAATTGTATCTGTATTAAAAATGACTTAACTGATAATCAGTAAAACTAAACCTAAAGCTGCATGATGGAATTTTACAAGTCTGATATATATCCTATACTAATTACATTCATGACTCCCCCAAAGTTAGTATGATCTTCAACTGTTTTATTGAAATAAAACCCAGGATAATGCATAAAATAAGTCAAATTAATTAAAAAGGCAAGTAAACTGAATTTTCTTGATATGAGAGAAACAGCAAGAAAACATTGTCAACATTTTATTTATGTAATTTTTTAACACACCTTGAATTGTCATAAATAGGTCAAAAGAAAAAGTACCTTCTCAAACTAACAAAGGGCATGCCATTTTGATCTGCCCGGTGTCATACCGAATTTCAATGTTTCCACTTGCTCTGTGATGAAACACAGGGTACCTCTAACTACTACCTGATGTTCTATTTTTATCAGTGGTGAGGTAGGTGCCCCTTTCTCTGGTTTCCTCTGCTGGTCCTAGAGAGGGGCAGCCTTGAAATCAATTTCTACCCACACTATTCTGTGATCTGAAGGAAGTCACTTAACACCTCTTGGAGCTGCAGATTTCCTACACAGTAAATGAGTAGCATTAAGGCTACTCTCTAACATTGTTTTAAGAATGGAACATGCTTTCTCACAAGAAAGTCTCCATCACATAATATTCCTGAGACAGAATGAGAGCTGATAGTATTGGACCCTATTCATTTCCTCTCCTTGCCTGGCTAGAAGAGATAAAGGACGATTCATTACGAGATTTATAGTCATTCAACACTACTTGGCCTCCATTTTTCAGCTAAGAGTCCTGTAAAATGTGATTAAAGATACGCCAGTAGTTTCCTGGGCTAACATGGTAGATTCAACAATTATACCCAATTTCTTTCCCTGCAATCCCACTAAAATACAGTAAGCCCACAGGAGTGCGAGAATAGGAGAGGAGACGAAAGCATGACTTCATAAGCTGAAGAGTTGAAGAGCAAATGAACAAGTACTGACTTAGCAGCTCTGAGAAAGCTGAAATTTCAAACTGTGAACCAACATGACTGACAGAATCCTAAGGAGACTCAGGGACTGTCAGCACTAGGTCTTCTGAAACTGCTGGAGCGTGGGCTATCTGAGATGGCTAAGATCTGTAGATCCCTGTTGCCACTTGACTCTTCTGAGCAGCCTCTTCCCGAGAAGTCTCAAGATTTCTTCTCCAGGCAGTATAAAACAAAGAGTCTCTGGATGGGCAATGTCAAACACAAAGGACAGATGGGCAACTATCTGAAAATGGGGATTTAGTGGCTACACATGCCGTTCTAAACATAGAGATCCTGAGACCTTCTTAGCCTGCTTGGCTCTTACAGGACTGGCACCACACTCTAGGCAAGAAAAGACTCTTCTCTGGGGTATCAGACTCCCCCATGAACAGAAACCTATAGCGATAGAGGCATCAAATGTTTCCCAAACAGTCCGCCTACATCACCCTACAATAAAGCTCAAAGTCTTCAAAGACTTCATGTGTTCAGGAGCTTCGAAAGAGATTCAATTTTCAACTCTTTCATTTAAAGCAGACAACCACGGAGACAGAAATCAAAATGAGTAGGAAAAAAAAAAAAAAAAACGTAAAGGTCTAGGACTGTGCTGTTAACATGGTGGCCACAAGGCACATACGGCTACTGAGCACTGGAAATGTGGCTGGTCTAAACTGAAATGTACTTTAAATGAACAAAACATAGCAGATTTTAAAGACTCAGTAACAAAAAAAGGTAAAATTATTTCATTAATAATTTAAAAATACTGACTAAATGTTCAAATGGTATTTTCAGTTTAAGTAAAATATTAAACTAATTTCACCTGTTTATGTGGCTACTAGAAAATTTAATATTGTAATATGTGGCTCACATTATATTTCTATTGGGCAAGGCTAGAGAATAAGCCAAGAAAAGAATCCTTTAAAAAAAAAAGGATTAAACTATAAAAAAAAAAAAAACCTATAAATATCCTCAGATACTGCAGTCATTAAAAAAGGAAGAAAGTTGCAAAAAGAACAAAAACCACAGTTTTGGAAAATTGAAACATGATACCAGGAATGAAATAGTTCACAGCAAGGAAGAAAGATAAAGCTGAGGAAATCTCTTAGAAAGTGTTGTAAGAAAACAAAAAAAGAAATGAATGATAGAGAAAAGATAAGGGAACTTGAGAACCTGTCCAGGTTGTCAAGTATCCAAATAAGAGTTCCAGATGGAAAGCAAAGAGAAAAGAGAGGGGAAGAAATGAGCAGCAAAATGATAAGTTCCAAAAACTAAAGGACTAACCAGGATTGGCAGTGCTCATGGAGTGCCCTGAATAGTGGATAAAATATACCCACATCGAAACACATACTTATACAATTTTAGGATAAAGGGAAAAAAAGAAGATTCTACAAGCTTTCAGAGACAAAATCATAGGCCACATACAAGGAGTTAGAAATGAGAAGGATTTTAGGTGAAGACAACAAAAAAACACCTTTGAATTTCTGAAGAAAAATAATTTTCAGCCTAGAATATTACAACCTTCCACACTAACACCACCATGATATTTCCATTCAAGAGAGTAGAATATAAAGACATTCGTGGATAAATAAGGTTTTAAATATTTACTCCTATTCTACCTTGCTCAAGTATGGGCATGACCAAAACAGGAGAATAAAACAAAAACAAAAACAAAAACAACAAAAAAAGGGAAGACATGACAGGCATTTCCTCAAAAATGAGGAGAAGGTGGAAGAGATATCCCAGGATGGCAGCTAGTTACCATATTTTAAAAAATCCAGTACAAAATTATAGCTAGATAAGGAGGAGTAAGTTCTGGTGTTTTATACCACTGTAAGATGACTGTAGTTAACAATAATATATTACATACTTTCAAATAACTAAAAGGAGGGTGTTGAATGTTCCTCAAATGGAGAAATGATAAATGTTTGAGATGGCGGCTGGGCTAATTACCCTGAGCTGATCACTATGCATCACGTATACCAAAACATCACTGTGTACTCTATAAATGTGTACAATTATTACATGTCAATTTAAAAAAAATTTTTTAAAAGGATCCAGCTGGGAGCAACAGAACTGCAGAGATTGATATGTTGAGGACTATCATCGCTATTCTCTCTGACATTATCTCTTCATTTTCACCCGAGGACAGAGTATCAGCTAAGCTTGGCTCAGATCTTTTTTTGTACTTGTCTCATGACAATGTGCTGATTAAGTTTTTGCAATCCCTCCATGAGCTGCTGCTTGATGCTACTAAAGCCATTTATTTCGTCCCACCAAGTAGGTCTTTGGACCTACTCCTGCAAACTACAGGTATAACAGTGAGAAAAAAAAAAGAGAGAGCAGCCTACTCCCTGACCATATTCCCGCTAGAATGTGCAGTACCCAGCTTACAGGACAGTCCTTTCAGATGGTCCAAATGTAGTAAATTACGTGTTCCCAGGACACATCCATGATCTTGACCACTACCCTATCACAATGGCTATTTTAAAATATCAACGAAGGCAAAGCCAGCCTACGATCCAGACACTGTTTTATTTACTTCATATAACTGTGTGGATACTGGGATTGCCTTACACAGCTAGATTTATGCTTTCAAGTCAATTTTCCAAAGGTTAACAATACATTGTTTAGGAATAAATAACATGTATTAAAACTATTAAGAAAAGAGAGAGAGTTATGATTATTAAAGACCTCTTTGGTGGAGTTAGGCGGATGTAACTTGGAAGAGGAACGTGGGGGTTTTTTATAAGGTACAGTAATATTCTATTTTCTTAAGGTGGGTGATGGGAGATGAGTTTGTTTTTATTTTTCTTTAAACTGTATATATATTTAATATACTCTTTGACCCATGCACTAATAATCAGCAAGACACCCATACCGTCTATGCCAATGAAAAAACATGTGTAGCAAATGTTATCAGCAAAATACAAATCAGATTTTTGCTGTTTTTAATTTAATAGTGGGTTTCAAGGGTAAAAATTTTACCTGCCGAAGGTATAATTTCAAGACGTCACAGATATCATGTGAACTAAATTCTGAAATGTCTACCAAGTGCATTCCATTTTCCAAAGCTTGACACAGTTTTTCAGTCTTTATTTTGTTTCCACACACACGATAAATTCCCTTCAATAGAAAAGAAAAAAATTTTGCAAAATTCTTTAGTGCAAATGGCTAAATCTACATATATTTGATTTTCAATCTTTTCATTCTATTTCAAATTTTATTAGTATTTTAGAAAAAACTATTCAAGGCCAAATGAGGTAACATTTTCTGTAGAAATCTGAAAAAATTTAGTTATTAAAGATTGTGCATTGGCCAGGTGCCTGGGAGGCGGAGGCGGGAATATCACTTGAGCCTAGAGTTCAAGACCACCAGCCTGGGCAACATAAGGAGACCCCATCTCTACAGACATTTTTTTTTTTAATTAGCCAGGCGTGGTGGCACGTGCCTGTGGTCCCAGTTACTCAGGAGGCTGAAGTGGGAGGGTTGCTTGAGCCTGGGAGGTCAAGGCTGCAGTGAGCAGTGATCATGCCACTGTACTCCAGCCTGGGCAACAGAGTGAGACCCTGTCTCAGAAACAAAACAAAACAAAACAAAAAACCCCTGAACATTATTTTCCTTTAAAGTCTCCTTTTCATTAGGTTACACAGGCATTTATGCTTTTTAAAATTTTAAGAGTTATAATGTACCTGTAGACACAAAGCTCTATTTTCAATCTCTGAGGCACATATTTTGAGTATAAAAGGGATACCATCTGGTTCCTTTTTTGCAACTTGTGTGAATTCTGCTCCAAATAATTGTATTTTTCCTGGAAGTTTCTGATGACCGCAAATAATGACTAAATTTTCCAAACACTTGCGATGACAAACAAGGAGACACTACAAGAAAATGATAGTTTGAAACTGGTTAACCTTAAAACTATTCACAACTGGGCAAACTGCAGGTGGGGGGTAACACAACAAAAGTGAGTTTAAGCGGTATTACTTGTGGTATTTGAAAGATTTAACAACGAAACAAAACATAAAATTGTAGAAGGCATACTGCAGAACAATTAAACATACATTTGCAAAAGATCCTAAAAAGTAAAATTAATAACAAAAAAGTAGAAAACAAAAAGCATAAAAGGGCCAACACAATTCCACAAAGATCTTACCTCTTCACATTCAACACCTTGGAACACTACAATGCCTTCACAATCCCTACATTTCGTGGGGGATCTCAATTTGCGAAACTTGTGTGTGAGAGCTGCCTTTGACATCAATGTTTTCTTAAATGTTCCAAGGGAATTGGGTCCTTGCGAGAGAAATAGTTTATAAAAATTGTAAAATGATAGAAAAATTATACCATGTGATACCATATTTTGAATAATCTTTAAACCCTGTAATCGTTCATATATTATAAAAAGCTTTGAATCTGTAATATCAAAATAGCTGCTTAGCATCCAATTTATAGGTCCAATTTATAGATCTCTTAAAAGGCACATTTATCAAGCATTTTAGCTATGAGTAAAAGTGGTCACCAAGTCATTGCTATGAATAATAACATGGCATAATGTTTTCAGAATCAGCATATTTACACTATTATTAACATGTTCTTTCATAGAGCTGGGAAGGGTGTCATAGGAGGCATTAGAAAAAGTCCCCATAAACAAAGAAAAATAGCTGTGTGAGGTTAGAGTGTGAGCATTATCTGCATTACAGATAAAGCTTTCTTAATTTACTATAAAATTATAGTTAATATCAGCTAGTTACATATTAATACTATACTGGGGGTCACATATTCCATTAATTTAGGAAATGATGCCAAACCAGGTAACTGTAGGCATTAAACGTACAAAATGAATTTATACGCCTCTAATTCAAGTTGTTAAGGTAACTGATTTAACTTCATCCTTCAAAATCCACAACTTCCTTATCCTCAAGAAGTACACTTACTTAGTTTTCTTGCTTGGTTTCTTGCATTGTTTCTTTTGAAGGAGATTTTTAGAATTTTTTATGCACCCCAACCGTTTTAACACTAAGTCATAGTATTAGGTTTATGAAAACACATGATATCTAGCCTGTTATTTTAGCACCATGCCAATACATTTTACATCAGTAGTTTTGCTGCCTATTCTAATATTTGTATTTGTAACATTTAATTAATACATTATCAACTCGTACTTCTACATAATTGTTGGGATATATTTAAGTCATGGTGAATTTTTTTTGTTTAATACACAAGAAAGTATTGATTCTTTAAAATTATACTATTTTTCTAATATCATGCAGTGCTACTGATTCAGCTGGTTTAGTGGGACTTAATTCAGGTAAATACAATACCAGTTTCTGAAGGGGAAGATGGCTCTCTTTCATCTAGATCATCTGCAGAGGACATAGTTCCACTGGATGGTGTTCGTGGAAGTTTTCGATGAAAGTCTCCTAAAAGAAAATTGTGGATACAATTACCTGACCATCCATTGTAGGATCTTTGAAATAGGAAATGAAAACACTTTTGAATTAACAAAAGTCATACTATTTTATTAGCTTCAATGTAAAAATTTGCCTCTATTCTCATTCTCTGGGTAACAGGGAATTCTGATACTCATTCCTGGAAATGAAAAGATATTTAACCAAATCTGACTTTCCTGAACAAATTTAAAACTGAGGCTCATGTAGTCCAATAACACTTTACTGCCAACTTCCGATGGTAAGTATTAGATATGGTAAACTTCACAAGTATAGCTGATATTTTCCATTCATGTCTAATACCTAACATGTGACAGAGTAGCTGGCACAACAGTAAAGTTGTCGTTAAATGTTTGCTGAATTAAGTTATAAATGTATACGATTAAACCAAAAGCTTTCTAAAAGATACAAAAATCTTTGAATACAACAACCCAACAGTAACATCACATTTATGTTACTGGCAAGACGGCAGACTGGGAACCAGGAACAATAGCCCAGTGATACTGGCAGGGAGCTGAGACCACAGTGTACAAGCTATGTCAGCAAAGGACACTGCATATGTATCAAAGCATGTTTGGAAGCAGCTCAACTGGGAATGAGGTTTATTTACTCCCTCTCCACAGGCCTACATCTAAGTGGAAGAATTCACCTTAATGCAAGGCCTTAACAGTTTCAAATTCAGAGTTAGAAAAGCCTTTACAAATGATTTTAAAGAACATCCTCTTCACCAAAGGATTCTTCTCCACAATATGCTTAAAGGTAGCTATCTAGTTTTCACTTTGAATGTGCCCCCAATGACTGATAAATCACAAAGTTGTATTGCTCCATTTTATAACTATTCTAAATGTAAAATGCATTTCTTACATTACTGAACAGAAAACTGCCTCCCTATAAATCCCAGGCTTGGTCATATTTTTCCCAAACGGAGAAAACAAGTACTCTAACTTTAATCCCTTTTCACTTCCAGTATTTGAAGACAGCTGACAGGTCTCCAATTTTCCTTTTTCCCAGGCAAGGCATTCCCAGGTTTTCACCCATTTATCAGGTGATGTGGTTTCTAAAATTTTGTCTTTACCACATGAAGTTTTATGGGATCCTAAATAATATGGGGCTTGCTCTAGATTGGGTCATAATTTCTGGAGCTACCTAGAACCAGTTTGTTGTTACAAAGCTAATTACAAATATTCAGTTCAATATTAGGCTCACATTTCCAGAACGTTCCTTGAACAGTGCTACTTTTAAAGAAGGCAGCAAAGTGGCAGGTGATAATCATCCTACAAACACAGTGCTGCGTGAAAATATTTTTCTAACTTTAAATATAAGAGATTTACCTAAATCAGTAAAACTTCTGCAATATGTAAGAGAAGAAAAAGGCCTTGGAATCTGAGATGGCTTAAATCCTATAATCTATCTATTAAGATCCTAGAAGAAAGAAACGTTGCCAGAAAGAATGGGCCTGGAGCAGTCTTTGGTAGAAGTGTAAAGGAAGAATGTTGGATGTAGAATCTCATGAGTTCAATTGCTACCTTCTTCTACTGCTAGCTGTATAACCTAGGCAAATCGCCCTCTTAGAAGCCACTAATGGAGAATTCAAAATGCTTACTCTGTTTCTCTCTGGGGACCATGAGATAATCTGTATCAAAGTATCTTAAAGCACATTTGTAAAAAATTAACAAGAATAAGTAGTTGCAGGCACAGAAATAGCAAAATGACATTGTTTATTATAGCAATTAAGTACCAAACAATCCAAAAGATGACAGTTATAGCCACAGAATATACAGCAGTGAAAATAAAGATGACTACCTACATTCACATAGATCTTAAAAAAAATACATGAAGTCACGATAGTGTAATTCAATTTGTATAACATTCAGAAGAGAGCAAAACTTCACCAGATAGAAGTACTAGAAACATTTAAAATAGCTAGGGAATATTTTTAAAACATTTCAGGATAATGGTTTATTCTGGTGGGAGATACGGCAATGTTACCACGGAGGTGTGTACAGGGGCTTCTAATATACTGATAACCATCTATTTCTTAGGCTGGGTGGCGAATATATGAGGGGTTTTTAAAAACTATTTTTTAAATTGTATACTTTCCTCTCTATTATGTATGAAAGTTCACTATAAAAGCAAGGTAGTCAAAAAATACCCAAAAAAGGACTGATCTTTCAATGAATTTCATTGCTAGACTTAAATACTGATGTACCTGGACTTATAGATTCTGAATCCAGAGATCTAGATTCGCTGCTCCCTCCAGTACTCTCAGAGTCACTAAACATCCCAAATGTCCACGATCTTATAAAGGAAGGACCTTTAATAAAAAGAACAAAGTCAAAACTTGGCTACAGGTGGATTTCATAAGGTAAAATACTGACATTCTATCAAGTGAGACAATTCAAATTTCTTTAACAATAACCAATTATCAACTTCAAGAAAGGAACCATGATAACAACTGTGAATAAGATCTCACAAATTTACAATCTAAGGCCTGATTTTTAAATTCCAGAGCAAAAATTAATTTAACAATCACATTCGAACAATCTGACCTTTTATAAATTAGCACTCTTTTTAGTGTGGAAAACTACCTGTTATATCTGCACTGTTAGAGCATCTGTCCTCTTCAATTTTATTAGAACTGTCAGGAAGGCGTACAACATCCTCTAAAGAGTTGGCAGGTCCAAATCCAGAAGTTTGGGAACTATTTAAATGTTTATTTACATTTCTGAAACAACAATGACAAAAAACAAAACTCAACACTCCAGGGAATAACTAATAATCAGTCTATTTCATTCTGTGTTTAGAAAAATCTATTAATTTAACAATCACAGATGAATTAAACTAAATATTAAAAACAAATCATACTACATGGTTCAGCTTCTTATAGGAGATGCAAATACTTTTTAATTATTTGTGCTTATTACAGTGGAAACATGGGAAGGAACAGCAGAAGTATAGTTAATAATTCATGGCATGGTTTAACTTTTCTAGCATGACCTCTGTGGAAAACATAGGTTAAATTCTGTGGACATTCAAAACATGTATGGCCATCATATGATGTTCCCAAATGATTTTTAATTCTTAAATAAAAGAAGTCTGTGTCAAAATGGAAAGGCTTACTGTTAGTGAATTATATCTGTTCCTTAAATATAACTACTTCGATAACATAAAATAATATTTAAAGAACTCAGAAAATTTTTAAGTTAATTTTGTCAGTTAGAAAAGACACTTCCTTGTACTAGACAGAAACTTTAACAATTAAGTGTTTTATATTTTGAAGTAATTTTGTCTGTACATTAATTCTCACCCATCAACTTTGTCTTCTTCAGTTGAATTTGTGGCCTTGACAAATTCACTGTACTCTTGGCCTGGGTCATAGAGTTTGGCACTATCACAGAGAGACTGTAAACTGTCTGCAAGGGAAGCAGCCTGCAGATGCTGCATGTTGAAGAGGTTAACTGTTACCTATGGACACAGAGACAAAAGGCAGAGTAACTCATGAGATACAGAATGTTATAAAACATACATTTATTTCAATGACTGCATCAATAAAAATGCCATACAGTGAAGCATACAACACTGAATATCACTCTGAGCATACTATGATGCCTGATTTTGCATAATGTCTAGATTAGGGAGAAAAGTAGTTTGAATCTAATATCTATGAGTAATCATTTCCAGCAAAACTGGCTTTTAGCTGAAAAATTCAAAAGTGACTTCAAAAACCACATGCCCCAACTGGTTCACAATTTTAGGAGATGGATGTGTTTCTGAGGATCCTCATCTCTGTATCCTGATGGTCTGATCACAACTGCCTAAACTCTTCAGAGAAAAACATGGGGAAAACACTTCCAATCAAAGAACTATTATTTAGACTGTTTTCACTTTTTCAATCCTATAAAAACAGAAGTGCTGAACTACAGTACTCCGTTCTTATAATTAGATATTACCTTGAATCTATTCAAAATACATTATTCCATTGAGTTTCACAAATGCCTAAATATATTATCACTATCATCACTTCTACTAACAACAATAACAATAGCAGCAGCTGACAAGTATGTACAATATGCCTGACTCATTCTCAGAGTCTTACATGAATAAACTAATTTGATGTTCACAAAAACCTAGGCTTTGGGTATATTACAGCAAACCGATGAGATACTGACTCTCATGGACCTTTACATTCTCCTGAGGGTGGTATGCGAGGGAAGTAACAAATTACGTAAATAAAATACTTTCTGGTACTGAAAAATGCTATGAATACTATATAAGAATGTCAAATTATGCAGTATGACCAGGTATGTGTTTGTGGAAGGGTATTTCCAACATGGTAAATTAAGGAAGGCCTCTCTGAGGAGGTAACATTTGAATTGCAGGCCGATGTAAGAAAAGCTTCATGGAGATCTATCCAAACAAAAGGAGGAGGTAGTGCAAATGTGAATGGGAAAGAGCTTGTCATGCTCAAGAAACAGATGAAAGGTCAATATGGTTGAAGTATATGGAAAGAGCTCTGGTTGAAGATAAAGCTAAAAAAAGTAGTCATCTAAACTATGGCAAGGTGTCTGAATTTAAGTGCAACAGGAAGCTGGTGGAGCATTTTACACAAAGCTATAACATGATCTGATTTATTCTTTAAAATGACACTCTGGCTTCTTTGTGGGGAAGGTATTTAAGGGAAACAATCTGAATAAATGCTAAATTTCAATTAGCTTAATGTTATTTCAAAGACTGCCACGTTTCTTCTTCATCTCTCTTGACATACCAGATGATAGGATAATTAGTCTTTAAATCCTTTTCAATGTAGACAGGCATTTCCCTAAGGATACTTGACTCTGCATAAATAGTATTTGAAAAGTATAGATAACAGAATAAGTAGCCCTATTTGTGCCCTAACTCCTTCAAGAAACAAAGAAAATTCAAACTGCATAAGGTGCAGTTTAATTCTAGCAACTGGCTATATTAGAGCATTCTCCAGCTAAAGGTAAACTGCTTACTCTCTTGATCCTAAAGGTAACCTGCATGCTAGGTGGCCTTCATTAACTGCATTGAAAAAGTTAATGTGCAAATGAATCACCTTGGGGATCTTGTCCAAATGTAGATTATGATTCTAAGGATCTGTGTTGAAACCCAAGATTCTGCATTCCTCATAGGCTCTCAAAGTAATGGCAATATGACCAAGGACTGCATCTTGAGAAGGCTTTCTAAACTTTAGTTTTCTCATCAGTAAAATGGAGATAAAAACTTGATAGGATTTTTGTGAGAATTAAATGAATTAATGTAGACCAAGAGCTTAATACACTGGCAGGTACGTAGTCAATCTTAGCTATCATTAGCTATTGTTTGAGGTGGAAGAAATTTATCAAAGGTAAAAGATTGGCCTAAATGACTTCTAAGGTAATTTCAAATCCTGGATTTTATAATTCTGTTAAATCCTTTCATGATTCTTTAACTAAATAATATATTAATTAATCAAAATTTGGAAAATAATGAGATACAATTTTAAAAACTCAAAAACATTTTAAGGAAGTTTTCTGGTTCAGATGCAGTAAGCTAACTCCCCCCAGTCTCCCACTGAATTCACCTAAAAATCTGAACAGAATGCACAAATCAAGACTCTGAAAAGTAAATGGAAAAAACTACAATTCGAGGTATGACCAGTCCAGCAATAGGTCTACTCCTGCCCTGTTTTCCAGCCCATGCTCAGCTCCTACCCAATTCTCCAAGTCCCAAAGTACAAACTGAGTGTAGACAAAAGGAGCACCAAGAGAGGTTCTTTCTGGTTCAAGGAACAAAAGCGGGGAGGGGTGACGGGAGATGTAACTAAACAGTAGAAGAAAACTCCCTGGTTTCTTTTGTATATCTGTTTTCTCTTCTGCCTTAGACCCTAAGCAAGTCCAAATCCCTAAGACACAATCCTGTGGGAGCAGCAATGATGACAGTAGCAGCTGAAGAGATGCCAAAACTCTGATGGAAATCCTCCTTTATGACCAGGTGAACTGTGTCTAGAGAGGGGTCTGAAATTTCTGTTACTTTTCTCTCTTTATCCTCCCCACACTTGGCCGGGGAGAACAGCAGAATAGGCAGACCTAAGTTTCCCAGCCAGAAGATTGGGAAGGGAGTCACACAGAAGCTGGAAAATGAACCTAACTGTATCAAATAGTTGCTAAAATTGAAAAAAAATTAATGTTCAATATAGGTTATAAACAGGACCCAGAGTCAATAAAGTAGTAGTGAAAATATCTAGGATATGATTCAAAATTGCTTGTCATACAAAGAACCAGGAAAATCTAAACAACTCTCAAGACGAAAGACAATAAAAAGACACCAAGACTGACATGGCTCAGATTTGGGATGATCAGATGAAAACTCCAGAACAACTATTACAAAGGTTTTAAAAAAGTAGAGCAAACAATCTTGAAACATGGAAAACCAGAAGCCTCAGCAAAGAAATGTAAGATGTAAAGAAACAAAAGGAAAATTTATTGCTGAAAAATAAAGTATCCAGAACAAAAAATTTACTGGACGAACTGTATGGGAGAATGGGAATAACAAAGGAAAAGAGTCTGTGAACTTGAAGACAGATCAACAGAACAGTATAAACAACCAAGAGGAAAAAGCTCTGGGGAAAAAATAAAGGACTTCCAGAACTGCGGAAGATTAACAAAAGCTCTAATGTTTGAGTCACTGGGTGTCAGAGAACGAGGAAAAAGAATACTACCAAAAAAAAAAAAAAAAAAAAAAAAAAAAAAAAAAACAGATTGAAGAAACAATAGTTGAGAACTTCTCAAATTTTTCAAGAGTCAAACTTGTAGATGCAAGAAGTTCAATCAATCCAAAAAAGGAAAAAACAGCAAAAACCAGGTCTAGATATGTCTTAAACAGATAAAAACCAAAGACAAAAAAAAAATAATAATAATAATAATCCCACAAAAACAGCCAAAGAAAAACACATGCCACAATTGGGGAAATGATAATTAAAATGATTACTGGTATCTCATGAGAAACTATGGATGCCATAAGGCAGTGGAACAATATTTTTAAAGCAGTGAAAGAACTGGTTTCTGTATTTAGAATTCTATATCCAGTGAAAATGTCCTTCAGAAATGAAGATGAAATAAAGACATTCTCATATGAAACACAACCAAGTGAATCCATTACCAGCAGACCTGCTATAAAATAAGTGGTAAAGGAAGTTCTTTAGACAAAATGTTACCAGAGGAAAGATGGAACCACTAGAAGGCAAGAAGAATGAATAGAAATAGTAAATAATAGACTACTTTTTCCTTCTTAACCTCTTTATAATATGTATGACTTTTAAAAGCAAAAATTGTGAGAGTCTGGTGAGGTTTTCAATGTATATGGATGTAATTTACATATATCAAATACAACCCAGATTAGGTAAAGGAACTTCTAGGTGGTGATGCTTCTGCATTCCACTTGAAGTGGTAAAAAACTAATTCTAAGTAGACTTAAAAAAAGTGTATGTATAAACACAGATAAGTGTGCAACCATTTTTTTTAAATTGGCTATTTATAGAATAATCTATTTTAGGCTGAACTGTCCTAGCACATGTTTTAAATGGATCTAGCATTTTCATATAACTCTGGAAACCACATTAAATATTCAGCTTCTTCAACAGTGTTTCACAGTTCATTACTACTTTTTCAGGTAACTAGTAATCTTAGAACTTCTATTTCTGTTCCATGAAAGAGATAATTTTTGTTTTTTACCAGAATGCTTATTTTGTATCTTAATGACACAATATCCATTTTCATATATGACAGAGTTCATATATGTACTACTACATCTGTACATTCTTAGTCACGTCAGGCTGCTACAACAAAAGTACCATAGACCGAGTGACTTAAACAACAAAGATTTATTTCTCACAGTTGTGGAGATTGAGAGATCAAGACCAAGGCACTATCAGATTCAGCGTCTGGTGTGGGCCTCAATTCCTGGTGCATAGACTGCTCTTTTCTCTCTGTGTCCTCACATGATAGAAGGGAAAGGGTCATGAGGGCTCCACCTAGTCACCTCCCAAAGGCCCCACCCTCCAAATAGCATCACATTATCACACTGGGGATTAGGATCTCAACATGCTAATTTTGCAGGGGGTGATAAACAGTCCATAGCAACTCAGTTCAAGTAAGTTGCACTGATTGTGGGATTCTAATGAGAATTTACAATGTTAAATGATCTCAAAAACTATTATGTTTTGATACATGCTGCTTAACTGGTTGACTCCATATGACATAAACAATCAAACACAGTTTTTCATTGGTCAACCGATGTAGTTTTACATTTAGCTCCACTGAGAGTAACTGTAGACAAAAGTAAAAAGTAATAATGAAAGTCTACGTGCAACCATTGTGGTTATTAAGGCAATGCAAGTTTCTAAATGATAATTAGAGGGAGATTTTTTCAGGTTATATAAATAGATAAAAATTGAATTTCCTAAC